AGAGAGAGAGAGAGAAAGGGCGAAAAGGAAAAAAAAAAAAAGAATCATACGACCAAAAAAATTGGCGTGGAAGCCTCCGCTCCGAAATACATAGAAACACAAAGTACAGTCTGAGGACACAAGTGAGCCCACCCCCAGTACTGTCCGTTTTTGCTCTTATCCTTTACGTTTCCTCCCTCTCCCCTCCCTCCAACCACCAAAAGACCCCGTCGTCCCAATTTTACCTTTCTTCCTCCCTCACACACGCCTCCCATGCATTCTCTTCACAATTTCTTCAGAATAAAAAGAAAAAGAAAGGGAGGCTCCTACTTCATAATCCATGTGCTCACTTAGATGCCGTGGAAGAAGGGACATTGCTGTTGGCCGTGGTGCTTGGCGTTCACCCACTCCATGTCAAAGTCTACGCCCTTCTTCGGTTTGGGCATGGCGGCGTCAGCGTCCGGGGCAGGAGTCTCGGTGGCGGCAACCGACATGACGATGTTAATAGCCCGCTTGATGCGCTCCAGAGCATCCTCCTCTTCATCGCCGTCGAAGAGACGAATCTCTTCATCACCCTCGCGAAGCAGGCTTCCTGACAGAGCGCTGCGGCGACCACCACCACTTCCACCAAAAAGTAGTGGAATAGTTGCGCTCTCCTCCTGTGGGCTGATGGGAGAGGCGGATCTGATGATGCTACCCGCGTTGACCTCATCCAGGAGCGCCTGCGATACAAAGTAGCCCTCTTCTAATGGCATTTCGGGGGAGTCGGGTTCCCTTGTTCGCGCAAAAGCGTCCACCTGCTCGGCGCTGTCCCCATTCTGTGGCACCAGCAGAGGGCTCACGGAAATGGGAGTGGGTGGTACGGGGTGGTGGCGCTCATGCACCAGCTGGAGACCACCCACTGGCACCGGCTCACTCCGATGAGTGCTGCTCAGGTTGTAGCTACAATCGGTGTACGTATTGGTTTCTAAAGGCGAGGATAAGGCAAGAAGATCACGGAAGAGGGGTTCCGGGGCTCTGCGCTGCGGCCTCAGATCTTCCTCAAGATCCATTTCGGACACACCAATGGCCATAGGCGCAACCGGGCGTGACACTCCATGTCTTGTCGCGACAACACCAGATTTTGCCGTGAGCGCAGCGTCGCTGAGGGCTGCCCACGTGTCGCTACCGATTGGGGTTGGAATACTCAATATCTTCTTCTTATTCCTCTTTTCCGCGGAAATAGCCGCCGGTGCCGCCGTCGCCGAAGAAGCCGTTGACGTGGTGGTTGTACCGGACGGTGTCGCGCCGACTTTTGTGTTGTTATTGACGGCTCTCAGTGGCACACCGCGGTAGAAGTTCTGCACGCCGAGGAATGCCCGCAGGAGAGTGTTGCGTGTAGCAGACTCAGTAGCTGCAGCAGCGGGCTGCACTCCCGCATCGACGGGCGCCGCCGTGGAGCGTGCCCCGGCGGCCGACGACCTTGCAAGTGACGGCATCCAGTCGCTATTGCAGGAGGCGAAATTCACCCGGGCGAGACCCACTGCTGCTGCGGCCGCCGCCTTGTCGCTGCCAGCACTGCTACCCCCTGTGGCGTTTGTGCTGGAGCGCACAAGGGAGTAGCCACCATAATAACCATGGTTAGACATGGTCTTTTATACTTTTTTTTTGTTACTATTTGGATCGGTTTCAAAATGCCTCTTTATATTTCCTTGTATCTTTCTCACGCTCCTTCTTTTTCCCTCTCCCTTGCTTGACTGGCCTTGTTGCACTAGAAAGACAACTGCACAGCGGAGCCAGTTAGCATACACGCCCAGAAAGCAAAACAAGGCAAAAACAAAACAAAAAACAATGGACAAAGCCGGGCATTTGTAATTAGAGGAATGTGCTACAAGAGCAAAGAGCAACACGTAGGCATAGAGGTGAGGAGAGATGCTACTCTGGGAGTTGGATACGTTGTAACAATGATAGCAAGAACCCATATAGAAGGATTTTTTTTTTTGAGAGAGAACTATCAACGCAGCAGACCTGCGTTTGCCCATTCAGCCGCAGCAGCACTGTTGATTGGCTTCGCCTCGTCCCATGGGCCATTAATCTGTTTTTTCATGTTACCGTGCAGCGTCACGAAGCACCACGGGATGACCACCGACACCGCCACTACCAGAAGACAGTAAACCACCGCAAGCATTGGCACCAGCATCAGACAGCCCGCAGCAAGGCCGCAGAGGGCAAACGTAAGACCCACGTGCGCTGTCAAAGAGGTACGCTTGACGTGATGCCTTGGAATAGGTGACAATGTAAAGCACAAGATACCAAACGCAATAAGAGCACCGCTATGAAACGGACTTTGTATGCGTGAGGCAACGAGAATGGTGGCAAATGTCGCTGCATTAACTGCCATATTCTGTTGGTACTTCATTGTGTAGCAATTCAGGTAGTTGTAGTCTGTTTGCAAGACGTGCAGACACATAGCGAAGGTACTAAGTGCGACAATTGTATCGTTGCTGTATGTGACCGTTAGTGTTTGCAGTATGGGCGAGACGAGGATGAGTATTGCAACCAATGGAAGCACCTGTCTTCCAAGCTCCACCGCGTGCTGAATGAGCGGCGTTGGGATTTTGCCACACTCAAGCGACTGCTGACGCTGCAACTGCACGTAAAAGACGAATGAAAGCGCAAAGAGTGTCGCGTTAATTGACAGCAGCGCGTACGCGTCAACACGCTCCGACAATATCAGTACGAACACGAAGAGAAAGAACACGACAAAAGACAGCTGTTGCACAATGACAAAAGTGTCCATGACAACTTTCCCGTACTCATACGTCTTGAGGTTCACATTCTGTCGGAGACCCTGCATGAACTGCTCAGGGTCGACGTAGTTGTCCTCGTACGGCTGCCGTTCGTACAGCACCTTCCGCCACCCACGCGTGGTCGAGTTCGTCGACGACCCCCACACCAGCGGGGTACCGGAGAGCTCATCGCTGCTCGTCGCCGCGGGCTCGCGGTGTCGCTCCGCTGAGAACGCACCATGTCTCCCCATTTCCATGTCGTTCTTTTTGGTTTTATTTACCTCAACAGTCACCTTAATAGAAGAAAGGAAAGAGACCTGCGTGCAAGTGGGAATGCGCTCATTTGCGGAAGAGCGGAAACACGTAAACAAATCACTCATGGACTTCGTTCTTCCTTCCATCGTTCTTTGTTTTTTTTTTTTTGTTTTGGGTGTGTGTTTGTGCAAGAGGGGGCGTCGTTCTGACTTCGCTGACGCTCTTGCGGCCACCATACACACTTCCATTCATGGGATCCAGCCGTCAGCTGTAACGGTCCCTGAGGAGGAGGAGAATGATACTCTTGAGTCTTGAACTTTTATACTTCTGCTCCTGTCGCGTTTTTGTTTTCTTCGTGGGTTCTGTTACTGCTGTTGTTGCCTCCACTACTCCGCACGTAAGAGCAACAGCGACCCTTCCGATGATCCACAGAGAATAACCTGAGGGTTCCAGGGGTGGACGGCACAGCAGGAGAGCGTACTGCCAGCATTCAACAATGGGCAAGCAACAGTTTTCAGAATAGAGAGATAAAATGAATGAATAAAGAGGGCCGTCCCACCACACTCCTCGGATGCATTATACTTTGTATATGGTGCTGTGGTGACAAGGATGTACTGCTTCGGTGTTATGCACCAGCTTGTGATTCGCCCCGGTACCGCCAAGGAATGCATAGCAACACCATTGATGCTGATTTGATGTATCACGTGGTCCGTCATAGAAGTATACAGAATATTGGGCAAAAAACACGACGACTGAATCAACACGCGGTCAATGGGATATTTATCTGGGTGACGCAGGCTGCGCTCGAGTCTGCTGCTGGTCACGCTATGCAGCATCAGCACACCGTCCCTGCTGGCTGTCGCAACGAGGTCAAGTGTTGGGTTGATGTCCACCGCGGTGGGGTTGTCCTCGTGGCCGTACACTGTAAAGAGAAGGTCGACGTGTATTTTGCTGTGGCCGTGCTTCAGGTGGCAACTCCACACAATAAATGTGGTGTCCTCCGCACCGCTCACAAGGTACTCACTATCAGCGCTTGCGGCAATGCACACGATGCGACCCCGGTGGGCGCTCAGCCGCTCTCCCCTCCACACCGAAGAAGAGTCCAGCGGGCATACCATAAATGTGTTGTCAAAGAGGCCACCAAACGCGACAAACATCTCATTGTCGAGGCACAGCAACGCTATGTTTTCCGTCTCGCAGGGGCCGCCGCCCTTGCCACTGGTGCTTGGCACCACACCAGAGGGAAGCGGTGCCGTCCGCCGCTCTACCTCCTCTATCACGTCAACACTTGGGCGACCAGGCGCGATACCACCGCCAACACCACTATTACCGAGGCGACCTGAGAGTGAAGTTGGTGTTGTTGTTGTTGCAATCGCGCCGGGGACAGTGCCAGGCATTCCCGGTGGAGGCACCGTGCTAGCCTCCAACGCACGCTTCGTGACAGGTGTCACAACTAGACGGAATAACATGGTGGCGCCACTTCCGCCAACAACACGAACGCGGTCGGAGCCGAGCACCACTATTCGAGCCACACGAGCACACGTACGGTGGATATCAACAGTCATTGCTTTCAGCAAGCAGACGACAGGATCTGCCACCTCCTGTGGACGCCGCTCAGCGTGACTCCGTGTGAAGAGCTGAGTAGGAGTCTGTCCGATGTTGTCAAGTGAGTCAATCAGCAGCTTCTGATCCACATCGCTGCTGTGATTCTTGTCTAGCTCCTCGTAAGAATGCCAATTAAAGACATTGAGGGCGGCGATAGCTTCTTTGCCACGCTGCTTGTATCCAAAAATGAGATCAATCCAATGATGCAACATAGACGAGACATAGTCGCACTCAAGGGACTCACGCATACAATAGATAAACTCATAAGGGTCCCCGTGAGCCCAAGGCGGCAGCTCCAGGGCGTCCATGGGTTCCCCCTCTTGCCTGCACCCAAACTGCACACCATTCTTATTTATGCACAACTCAGGAAGGTAAAAAAGCTCAGGGATGAGTTCCCGCACATCCTGTAAATTGGTTGTTACGCCATGCCAGCAAGTGGCCATCGAGTGGAACATGCGGTCCGCGTGATCAAAGCGCCCCCCCTGCAGGACGATCTGCAGTGTTGTAAAAGGCTCCAGGCGTACCATGTAGTAGAGCGCAACAGCAGGTGAGCTGTAGTGGGTAAAGTAGTGCGCCGGTACATCTCCGAGTTGCTTTGTCTCTTCGTATCGCAACTCCACCCGTGCACGGCACCTTGGATCCCCGCAGATTCCTACTGGTAACGTCAAGTCACGGAATGTGGAGCTGTTCTCAAGATCGAGTCGCTCACTGGTGTAGTCCGAAAGGACCCATGGAAATACAGGATACTGCGTCAAGTCATTAAGCGTGCGGCCACCGAAAAAGTTTAACCACAGCAAGTAGTCAAAGTTGGAGATCTCGCGGCCACGCCATTGTTCCGTGCGCCGCCGCAGCAGTTGCTCTTTCTTTGGATTCTCATTGAATACGTAGAAGGGCATATAGGGAACCTTGTGTCGTTCCGCTGCAGTACGTATATTGCTCACGGCAATGCGCATATCTGCTATGGTGGCAAAATTAATCATAACACTCCGTCCATCACGGAACCACAACTCGAGAGCGCTACGCTGCATACGAAATCTTCGCCCTGGCGCCAGAATTGATGTATGCCCAGATGGATAGATAATACTACGTGGCTTGATGAGAAATGAATCTACATTTTCTGCGATGCGTTGGTTATACGATGTGTTTTCGTCATCGAAAAAGATGCAGAGATCCCCTTCTCGGATCATTAAAGTTGCGCTCCAGCAATGCATCATATAGGGTACCTCGCAGGCCATGGAGAAATGAACAGTTGGGTTGATCTCCTGTGTCGACGGGAGAGCCGAAATACTGGCGATATCTTCCACACTCTCTTCCCCCTTCCTTCCCTCTTCTCCATCCTCTTCGTCCTCATTACGAGCCTCGTCAGACGAGAGTAGCAGCTGCTCCCCGCCGCGCAAGCTCAAGCTCTGTGTTCCAGGCGGCTGTGTATCGGGCGGGAGCGATCCCATTGCAGTGATGTTCGCATGGTCTGTGCCATTGAAGTCGAACAACAGTTTTCGACGCACAAGTAATTGCTGCTCCACCTCCCGTAGCCGGACGTATTTGATGCTGTGCTGACCCGCAGGGTCAAGATCCCAAATGGTGCCCTTGCACCGGTCAAGGAAGCGCGTCCACACAGTGTTGAACACCACCGTGGCGAGTGTGTGAGCCGCCTGTGGGGTGTATCGCTCAGTTGATGCCACAACCTCATCTCGTTGTTCCGTGGTCGCCTGCAGGTACTCCTCCAGCGCGTCGAGCATCGTCTTTCGCACCACACTAAGGTTGGTGATTATCTCGTGCAGCTGCGCCATCGTCATGGCATGCTCCTGCTCGATGTGCTGCACCATACTTTTCTCTGTTAACTGATCCCGTTCCATCGTTAGCGTACATTTAAATATGAACGCGTCATAATCCTGGCGAGAGGCCACCTCCACAAAGTCGCTCATTGAGCTCACACGTCCGCGATAACATAGCCAATCAAGTGTGCCTTTGAGCGTTACTAGCGCGTAACCATCCGACGGCGCCTCCGTGTGAAAAACCTGCATTTGGTTGAAGGCTTTTCGATGAAGGATGCAGAGGCACTTGATGCGGTCCAAAATCTCGTGGTTGGCATCTTGAAGGCGTAGTGATGGTCCTTGTACCGAGAATCGCAACCGCCGAGTGAGGAGCTCATGCAAGCTGAGAATCATTATCATAGAACTGGACAGAGGCGAATGTTCCTTCTGCTCCGTCAATTGTCGGCGAAGCAGCATAAATGATCCTTGCTCGTTCTCTACAAGTTGCACCCAACGCGCAGCCAGAAAGAGTATGTCGTCCACCTGCGCTTCGTTGCGTAGCGTAAAACTACACAACAAGCGGAATAGTCGCACAAAAAGACGCATACAACCACCCTTTCGAAGCCGCCGCCCGCGTGGACAGACGTCCATGCCACCATTACCGCTGCTGCTGCTGTTGCTGCTAGTTCCACCCCAGTTGAGAATCGTGCTATGCACCGTGATAAGATCCATTGTACGCGCCGCAAGTGAGGCATGTAGCCACACACCATCAGGTGCATTGTGAATCCACATCAGGTCACCAGAACGGAATGAGGTTCGATCTGGCATTTCACAGGGTTCTTGAAACAGCGATAGGGACTGGGACTGCTCCTGTTTTTGCTGTGCGTTTTGACCAACGGCGGTCACCACTAATTCATCCGCTTCAGTATATCCACGCTTGCGTTGCGGCTCTGGGTGCCGTACCACACCGTACGCCTGATATGTTGTGGCAGAGTAGAAGAGCACGTCCTCAATCACGAAGAGAAGTGCAGTAAAGTTTGAAGAAGCCAATTGGCCACCAAGTACAAAATTTGTCCCGCCATTCCCATCCCGACGGGCAGTAAGCAATTCTATGTACTCCTTCACCACTCTTATCAGGACTGCATTTAGAAGAACATGGGCGCGCTGTTGGACAAGGTAGGCCACCAGAAGCTCCAACTCAGATGCCCCATATGTCTCCTGTCGAAGCGCAAGAAAGACAGAACGGGTAAATATAACCGTTGTTGCCGCAAAAAGGGCTGACCCCTCATTCGATTGTTCATTGCGTGATTCATCCTCAGAGAGATACAAATCAACGATACTCGCGTACCACCCTGGCACCGAGACAATCGCCTTCCATGACGATGGGTCGTGCTCTACCAGGGAAGCAATGTCCTGCATCGCCTTGGTCTTCATTGCCTTATTCTGGCAGCGTTTCATCAGCTGTAGCAGCGGTGTCAGGGCGGGGGCAAAGACAATCTTGTCACTCCCCCCCATCTCAACACATCCCTTCAACGAAACATCAAACCGACCCGTTAGGGCCGCACGAAGCGTTTCGTACAGCCCGACATCCACATCTGCAGCCTGGAGTTTATCTCGCAGCCACGACAAGGAAACATCGTACATGACATGTACTGCCTCGTGAGATGTCAACAAGGCGGGGTTTAGCAACTCCTGCGTCCGCCGTGAACGGCTTACAAGCAAGCAAAAGAATAGCAGGGCTTCGTTTCGAAGGGCAGCACGAGCATCATCGAGAAGTGGAATGAGAACTGCGGCGAACTCCTTCTTGCCCATAAAAACAGCAAGGAGAGGGTTTCTGTTGACAACCAGAAGTCGGGTGCGCTCTAGAATTTCAATGACCAATGAAGTCTCCTCCCTCTTGTCTTCCACCACACTCTTCACCAAACGGAGAATAGCCTCTGCGTCATTCAGTGTGACAGGACCCACCATGATTGTCTCCATGAGAGAAAAGAACTCTGTCCGCATTGCATAGTGATGTGTGGTTTCCGTGTTGTATACATGTGCCACCTCACCGGCGATGAAGCTAAGAAGGTCGAGGCCGCTCACACGCTGGCGCAATGTAGTGTTTGTGCCGCACACAATATATTGTGTCTTGATGAGCATCAGCTGCGTTGGTTCCGCGCACGCGTGAAGTAGATCCCCAGAGAGAAAGAGAACTGTGTACGCCGCGTCGAAGACGGCGCCATCCGGCAGAAGTGCAGTGCAGAGATTGCACAAACGCTGTGGAAGGTTGGGGCAGTGGTAGGCGACGAACTGCTGCAGCACGTGGGAGATCATAGGAAAAAGGCCAACCTCCAGTACATCCGCACGCACAATGTTGCTAAGGAGCAGTGACTCCACCAGCTTCAGCAGGTCGTCCAGCGCCTTACGCGTCGCCTCCGGTACTGTCTTGCGCTTCGCCGCGGGTACACGGCACTGAAACGGAAGCTGTGGGTTCACCAGCAGAACAAGCAGCGGTACCACCACTGTCTGCAGCGCCCCGAGCACGCAAATAGAGTCTATGATGCTGCTGGTGTTACATGCGACGGTACCCTCGTAGGTGATGAGCGGCCTCTCCGATGGCTTCCCGCGCGGCAACGTCGCCAAGTTCCGCAGCTGACCACGCTCGCCAAAGCGGGGGTCGACACACACCGCCACGTGCGAGGCGTACGACTTCACATTCAACACATCAGTTTCCCCGACAAAGAGCTCCATCACATCCTTTGCAGACAGCGCGCGACTGAAGAAGTACACGGCGGTCATCTGCCCAGTGAAGGAGCCACCGGAGGTGCGCTGCTCAACGTCCTCACCACGCGTACCAATGAAAAAGAAGCCCCGCAACAACTGTGGGTATTGCACTTGTGACACAGTCGTCACCTCTGCCCCGTTGATGAAAAGCACGAACTCGCTCTTGGTAAATGGAAAGATGGCCTGTCGATGAACCACCGCCAGATGTGTCCACGACTGTGGCGTAAGGCTGAAGCTTAACCCCAGCTCAAGAGTCTTTTTCTGTGCATCTTGGAAAATAACAAAAACTCCATCAGCAGTGGCTACAACCTCCAAAACAGTTCGCTTCTCTACCCCTTGCAGCGAGAAGATGCATTGCGACATACGTCGGTCAACGCGACGCTCCAACCGCAACCACATACATACAGAGTAGCCATCTGCAGGGAAGTCCGGCAACATAGCCTTTACGCCAGTCAGTCCACTATACTCGCGGAAGGCGATGTAGTTTTGTCGTTCCGTCTGACGGTTAAAAAAAGCGTAGGAGGCGACATTCAGTACCTCAATAACTATTGGCACAAACCGACATCTTTCCTCTTCGCTGTTTGTATGAACAATACTGATCAGGAACTGCTTTGTCTCACGTACATTAATATGGTGGGTGGCAATGTTCATCATGAGTGCCAGCACCATTTCTAGAAGGGCAGTTCCAGTAACAACAGGAATCAACGCCGTCAGCGACTCAAACAAACCGACATTAGCCACCATCCACAGCGAGACACGTGAGTCTTTCAATGTGTGTGAGATACGGGCAAGGAGGTACTCAAGTGCGTCACGGTGTTTCGTCTTAAACTCTGTCACTGTGGTGAAAATACGCAATAGTGGCACCAATATCTCTGGATTCTGCATTATTGTGTAATTCTTCTCACCCGCATGTGAGACGGGTGAATTAGGAGTTGATTGGGTCCCCCGTACATATGGGCCATCCTCTGGTGAGCCACTATCCTCCTCGTACACAAGCGAGAGAATGCAATAGACGAAGTTTCGCCACGACCCTCCTCGCGAAGCAAACCAAGCACTCCTAAAGCAATCGACTAGCTGCTCGGCACTAACAGTCTCGAAAAGATGGGCACGCAGGGCGGGATTTCCCTGCAGAAGCAGGGAAATGGTGTGCAGAATGGACGAAAGGCCGAGCGACGCCTTTACACCGCTCCACGGTAAGTTTGCTCGATGCAATAAACGGAGAAATGCGTCAGGTGTGCTGCTCGCACTGCCACAAAGCACGTTTTGCAACTGCCGCACGGGACCCCAAGAAGGCGAGTCCGCGCGAAGAGCACGAATAGAAGCTCGTATGCATTGCAAAATGGACAAAAAGATGTGGTCTTCGTCCTCCGCATCGATGGGGACCGTCGTCTCAGAGATTTCTCCATCCAACTTCGCACAATGACTCAAAGACTCCCATGTGAACTTCACCAGTAACTCCATACGCTGCGGGTACTCCGTATCGGCGCAGCGGTGGGTGAGTAGGGCGGTCAGCATCTGCTCCGCATCCCTTCGAATGTCCCTCACGGGGAGAAGTGAGAGGGCAATGCCGGCCTGATCCTTCAAGACACCACACTGTATCTCTGGCTGGCGCATCAACTGCGTAAGCAGGTATGTTACCCATCCGCCAATATTACCCGCCCGATTCTCTATTCCATCGGTAATGCTAAATTTGTTGGCAATAGTCGCAAACAATGCAATGCCATTACTCTGCAAGATAGCATCCACCACAGAGGCGGAGTTGGGACCATAGACAGACGATAGCAAGACGGCACAGAGAGGCACCAAGACATTCGGTTTATCGTGCAGAGTATCACCCGCCTCACCAGTGAGGAGTGTGTCGAGAATGACACCCACCTCATCCTCTACACTACTCATTGTGTCCCTTTCCCATGTGGACGGTGGGCGAGTAAGCATGTAGTGCAGCAGGTACACCGCCGCGTACTGAAGTCGTGGATCTTCTCGAAATGCCTTTAAGGCACGTTCGTGAAACAGCATACGATACAGCCCAGCATTTAATAACGGTTTCAGAACACTAATACGTTGCTTCTCCGGTGCCCCTACATCATTCAGCGGCAGTGAGTAAATGACATACTTCATCAGTGTGTCGTAGATGCAGGATACTGGTGCAAGAAGCTCAGGGGCATTTAGAATACTCTTGAGTATGCTTAGCTCAATCTCTATGAATTGGCGCAGTACCGCTGAGTTGCTTCGCACCTCCGCCATAGTCTTTATGTGACGCTGTGTTTCCAAAAGACCAAGATAGCAATGCAGGAATTCGTCCGCACTGCTGTTATCGGCCAAACGGTCAAACCGCGGTCGGGGGAGTACCAGTACTTTGTCAGACATCCTGCGAACACGAAACACTTCTATATCTGTGATAGACTGCAACTCCTGCATACACTCGCTTCGCATTATCGCGTAGCCCTTGTCGTTAAGGGCGCACTCGTATCTTGTTCCCATCACTTGAAGCGCCTCCACCAGATTGTCAATGAAATATACAGAGCCCATAGCCTGGATGGTTAGAAGTGGGCATTCTCGCAGCAGCTTCGTGACAAGCAACAAGCTGCATGACAACTGGCGTAGCAGCACGTCCGACTCCTTCTGCTCCTTTACAACAAGGAAACGGGCGAGTTGAACACCAGTGCCCGCGAGTGAAACATGAACAATGTGTTCACTTGGATCTTGGTACAAACTCGGTATAAGGAGCGCCAGCGAGCACAACACCTCCGCCACCATCTGCTCCTCCTCCTCCCCCGGCATATTCAAGTCCAAAACACCCTTCGAGCAGTAAAGGAACAGATGCCCACATTCGGCAACAATTGACTCGCGCACTACGGAGCGGTCAACGTCACCACTAACACTAATTACACCTGTCGAACTCGGTGATTCTATTGAGGAATTGCGGTGCGGCAATGTCACAAGTGATGCAATGGAGTTGTTCTCAGACCGATAACGCACCTGCCCCTTCGCAAGTTGACTGTTTGGCAGTCCTGTAGCGTTGTTTGCTATTGGCATCGCCCCGACGTGCAAAGCAACCAGCAGTCGCAACACATTGTGGAGGATCGTCATCACCTCCCTGCGCAAAACAGCGTATGAGTGCCGCACCGCGCCTACGCTGCTTTTGCTTGTGTCGGTATTAAAAGTACCTTCCTCTGTGTTCTCGGACGCAACTGCCGCACCACTTGTGGCTATACCCCTCGCAGCAGCAGCATCCCACATAGTGGTTCGGCTCATCAGTCGTGAACGAACAAATTGAAGCACTATCAACAAGTGCTCGTCAAGCCCCAACTCCACCATCGCTACACCACTCTTAGATGGACTCGCATTTGCCAGCGCAAGAAGGTTAGGGAGGGAGACACGCAGGAAAGGAACAAGGTCCGCCTCATCATAGTTAGCACAGCCACGGCCTAGACGCTGTATCAGAAGCACGAGTAACTTCACCGGTACATCGACTGGCGATGATTCCGTCTGGAGGAATTGCAGCACAACCCCCTCAAGTCCCGTGTCGACTGGGGAAGGGTGGTGCACCTCCGCTGCTACGCTTCTATGACTGTCCAGCTCCGCACGAATGCCTGCAGCTGCGGGTGCGGCAAGGAATGATGCGAACTCCATCTCCTCCCGCTGATCTCGCCGCACCGCATCATTGTCAGGCACGCTGCTAGTGACCTTTCTACCCACGAAAAAGAATTTTAGCATTACACTTTGCCTAGATCGGAGAGTAGCGTGCACTCACACAGACACACCCACACACACACACACACACACACACACACGCGAACTTTGATTGGGACGTGTTGAGCCCAGTTTTCCCCTCTTGTCCTTTCTCACCTTGGTTTTTTTTTCTGTTTGCCTTTCGTTCTCGTTCTTTTTGTCTTTTATTTTCTTTCGTTTCAACAGTAAATGAGGCTAACGGTACACTTCCCTAAAGGACAACACGGCATGTACCTCTTCACTGAGAGTGCAAACAAGAAGGGAAGAAGCAAAAATGTAACTTCTCCTGTCGGTTCGAGTGGGGTGGCAAGTAGACATGTAAAGAATCTCATTGTGCCTTGAGTGAGTAGCACAACCATGAGAGCAACGAGAAGCACCACATTCCAATCACGCCAAGGAAATACTCGTACTTCCAGGAAGAGTATCACTTACCGGAGGTTAATGCGACTGCGTTGACTCTTCCACCTTCTTGCGCCCATCCCGCAGTGGAGGTGTGGAAGAACCTTCCGCTGATGCAGTGGGCGCCAGCGACCCTACTCCTTCTGGGGATCCCCTTCCATGCTGCCGTTGTATCGAAGCCGTCTCGCGAAGCAATTCGTCAAGTCGTGCCCTAACGGGACGCAAAAGAACTTCCCGTGTCGCCGCATTTGCAATGTACACACTAAGCAAGGTTTCCAGAGTACTCCATTTCTTCTCCACAGTACCAGCAGCTGTTTCAATCTCCTTCGGCTTCTTGCGAGCGATGCCAGAAAGTGGCGAAGATACCTCCGCAAAGAACGCTTGTACAATACGATCACAGCATGACTTAATCTCACTCTCCACATCCTTCTTCGACTCCCGCGATGACTGCACAATCTCAAGCCGTCGCTGAGCAATCCTGGTGAGGTCGATACGTTTCTCCACAACAGTGATGTTTTCATCGATGCGTGACAGTTCTTCGCGAAGGTGCAACAGGTGAGAAAGTTGGCACATAAGGCCCTTAAGAACACTGTACTCCCCTTGCTGATGTCCCATTATCTTCGCGAGCTCCTGTACCTGTAACAGTGTGCAGTGAATGGCCTCCTCTGCAAATACGGAGAAGACAGAAAGCTCCAAGGAGGGGTACAGCAACCGCAGAAGCGACACACAGTTGTTGAGGGCAGGAATATCGGTGTCTTCGGTAGTATTGTCTTTACACAAAAACTGCTGTGCCATAGCCTTGGTTGGAGAACAGCGAACGATAGCCTCGCGCAGGAAGACACTTGTGCGAAAGATGAGCCGCTCTTGTGTGTCCTGAGTCATCTTTGTAAGCAGCCCGCCGAGCTCAGCGACGCCGTCTTCCTGTCGCACATTGGCACGCTGTATCTCTTCAATGGTCTGCGCCAGCTCCCCGAGTTCGTCCAACTGCAACAGCCGGGAGCGAAACACGTGGTACACCTCATTGGAGACACCCACAACGAGCTGTGGGAAAACGCGTGCGCTAAAGTCCTCGCGTAACCACACTTCATCAAAGACTTCCTTTTCATGCGCAAGGGCAATTTTCATGAGCTCAATAAGGTGAATCACAAGCTGCGGCATACTCTTGCTGGTCGTGCCACTACCGCACCACTCCTCCAGCCAATTTTGCAGGAGGGGGCCAACTATCACAACACGCGCCTCACGGTAGGCATCCAGGATATCGTTGTCGCTCATGTCGTCCTCCATCTGCCCCTCGCCACGACGCGCTTCCATCATGCGGCGTAGCGACGCCTTCTCGCTGAGCTTCTCACAAAAGATGCTATTAATGGCACTGAGCTTCTCCGATACCATACGTTGTCTCTCTGTGCTTTCCTCCGCGCCGTGGAATGAGAGTGGTGTTGTGATGAGTTCAGTATCGGCAGCAGAACCTGGAGCTGCGTTTTCACTACTCTGTTGCTTCTGGTAGAAGGCGCATTGGTACAGATCGGCGTCAGTTGTCGCAGTCTGTGCGGCTTGCAGAGACACCACAACAGCATCTTTTAAGCACTGGAATGCGCGCTGTTGGGCTACAGCCAACTTCGTTGCATACACCTTGGAGGACAAGAACTGCGGATTCCGTGATAAGAATTGCATTTCCTCCTCCATCTCCTGCAGCATACCAGGATAGCGAGCGGAGGTTGCCGACAGCGTTGGCTGCTCAGCCTCCCGCGTGAGAACCCCAATGCGTGTGAAGTGTTTAATCATACGCTGCAGCTCCTCCTGCACCATCTCCAGCTTCGTCTTGCGCACCATCAGTGCCGATGCGTTGCTGCTCAAATGATTGCTCTGCTCCTGGACGGCACCTGTCACATCACGCATGGATCCCAGGCAACTCGACAAGCTGTTGAGTACGCTCAGACACTGCTCCCCTATTCGTCGCCCATTCTGCGCACGCTCCAGCCACTGCTGCAGGCCCTCCACACGGGACTCGCACTCCGCCTTGGCGATCTGCCGCAGTGTTGCCTCCACCGCCTGCGCCTCCTTGTCCCTTGACCCCTCCGACAACTCACCACTACCACCACCACCACCACCAGCAGTGCCACTAATAGAGGGGGCGCGGCGCAGCGAAGAGGTTAGTGTCATTTGACCCTCTGAAAGCGAGCCACCGAGCTCCCTGAGCCTCCCGTGGAACGGCACGGGGTGCTGGAACACCTTTGAAACTGGGGCGAGAGCAACATCAAGTCGGTGGAAGAATTCTGCGTCTGAGAGCATAATAACAATTGCTACCCAATATCTGACACACACTATTATACACAGTTCCAACAGGGAATCAAGGAAAGAAAACGGACAAGAGGATACGTTCATTCCATTTTAGCTTGCAAAACAGAGAAGTATGGAGACACAGAAACAAATTTAAATACACCACAATAAATACGCCCAACCAGTGAAGCCCCACCCTCTTTCCCGCCCGTAAACTTCACGCAGTCGTATTGCGTGGCTGTGTGTGGGCAGGCTCACGTGCAACCCTCGCATCCAACACAAGTTCCCCAAGCTCCTCGCTGCCCACCCGCGCAGCTGCACAGTACCGGTACACATCCGCCACATCAGTGCGGCACCGTACACTCAGTGTCGGGGAGGTATTCTTGTTAGCAGAACGCAGCGACCGCAGCAGCGCAGGAACGACTCGTTCGTGCACTTGCAGCAAGGTGCCACTGTCGGCAACTGATGCAGACTGCTCACACCACGTCGCAAAGCACGCATTACCCGTCGTTAGGAGGCGGTGGAGCTCCGGCAGAAGCCATAAACCTGTCTGGTCAGTCTTTCCCAGTTGGCCCGTCAATACACGAGCGGCACATTCAACCGTCTTGGCCTTCACAAGGCCCACCTCATGAGTGAGTGCCCCAGCTAGTAGTATATTCACCGCATCATGAACAGAAAGCTGGCTCTCCTTCACAAGAATATTTTGCTGTACCTCGTCTAGCCACGCTTTTTCCGCGCCCTGACGGCCTGTCACATCTATTGCGGCAACCGCAAGCAGAGCAGCACTTTCTATTGTAACGGGGCGCAGCTGTCCCGTGTTCATCAGGAGGTGTTCCACGAAGTATATCAGCCGCTGAGACTCGTCATGATGGCGTGTAGAACATGCGGTGATAAGACAACAAGAACAAAGAGCCTCAATCAGCGCCGTCGCCGCCTTCACAGAGTACAATGACTGTAGATCATTCTGTTTTTCATTCCTTTCAGCATCTGCAGCGCCGCCATCCATTCCCGCAGCCTGTCGCCTCACGAGAGAAAACACAATGTCACACACCAAATTGGGATCGCCAATATGGTCGCAGTTAATCTTCGTCAAATACCGCAAAGCGGTGCCGACACGTCGAGGATTACGCACCACATCCCCCGTCCACAACTTCTCCGAAACCACCTGTAACACTGGCAAGGCCTCCTCTGATGGGAACGGAACACTGTAGAGCATTGCAAAGACACACCGCCAGTAATACAGCTCCGCAACCTTCTCCTCCGGCATGACCTGCAGACCTGCTGTCAGCAACGATGCCGGCAACGCGTGCGGGGGAAGTGCATGCACAATCGCCCGCGTGGACACACACTGACGATCGTACTGCCTGAGTCTGCAGACATACTCTGAGAGAGAGACGATGGCCATCAGCCGCTTGCGCTGCTCATGCGGCAAAATGTCGTCACTGGCCTCTTTCGCAACAGACACGAGTCTTTTAATACCGATACCGAGGTACATGTCGAAGGCAGGTTGTGGCGGCTGGTCAAAGAAGCCAAGCACCCTAACAACTGAGACGACATCCTCCAGGCTATGTGACTGCAACACCGCCGCAACAGACTCGGGTCTTTCGATCAGCGTGTTCATGCGCCCCACGACACTTGTCGCGAGCGCCACCAGTGGATCAACAGCGGCATGCGTGTCTTGGGTGCCGGCAGAATGCCAATCCCTCGAAACACTACTTTGATGCTCTGGTGTCGACACAAACGCACTGGGGCGAAGAAACCCAGAAGACTGAAGCGCTTTTAGGATGGACTGGCACTGCTTGAGGCTGCACGTCTGCACCTTTTCTGCGACATTACGAGCCAGTGCGTCCAAAACTCGCCCGTTCCACACACCGAGACGTGCAAATGCATTCAGGAGCAGCGAAAGTTCCAGCGGCTCCATCCCCTCAGACATGTCCCGCACCAGTGGAAGAACTTCATACAGCAACGCGTAGTGCCTAACCCCCACGTTTTCAAAACTCTGCACGAGCATGACAACCTCCTGTGGGGATATCTGATGAGAGTTGCCACTGCTAATGGTACCACTGTTGTTGGTGTTCTTGCTATTGGAATTGACGTGTTGCTGTAGGCAGGAGCAGGCGGCGTCACCCAAAGCTTTAAATGCCTCGTGGGTGATCATCTTCACTTCATCCATTGTGTCATCGATAGACTCCGCAGACTCTTCAACTCCTGCTTCTTCTGGCACCACTTCCACTTCCACGTCATTGTCTGCCAATGCATCGGTAGACACGACACCGTAAAGCTGCGCCAAAGTGTAAGCAAGGAGAGCCGTTTCGCGTAGCGGTGGTGGTGAGGTGGATTCAGCCATTAGAGTGCGGGCATTGCCCATCGCCACCACCACGAGATTGACCAGTGCATCCATTTCGTTGGGTTTAACTGCTCCAGCCTTTAGAAGTGGTAACAAGCGACGAATCATTGATGTCGTCTTCTTCGGTGCTGTCTGCAGCAGTGCCGCGATACGGCGAAGAAAGGCAGACGGCATAGACAGCACGTGCGCCCTTCTCATGCCGTCAAGGAGAGACTGTGTATCATAGAGAGTCAACTCCACAACCTCGCTGCGTTGCAAGAGTGTGGCAATAGCCTCTTGAGCCTCTGACTCCCTGACGAGACCCTTTGAACACAACTCTCCCATTGCCTTTGCGAGAGCACCAACTTCGTACGCATTCGAGACAGGCGCGAGGCAGCACACCTGCTGCGCCGCGGCATCAAGCGGATGTGGCGATGAAACGTTTTTAGTTGCTGCAGTTTCATTGTCCACAGCAAAGTTGCCGCTGCTGCCACCATCCTCTAGCCGTGTGTAACCTGCACCTCTACCCTCAGGGGTGAGTAGATGCAGTAACATCACAAGACCCTTGGGCTGCTGTATCTGCGCGATACCGTCGATAGCGCCATTTCGAAGCTTCTCATACAGCTCTCCAGCACGCCGCACGCACATCTCTTCCTCCCGCAGGAAAGTCACCGCTTCGCTTCGAAATGCATGGAGAGCCTGCATGATAAGAGCAGTAAGACCGGCAATGACAGCCGCGTCTTGCTCAGATTTCTGCGTCTCGCCACTGTTTCCATTATCGCTCCCGCTATCGACCACACCTGTTGACAAACGTTCGATGGCCTCTTCAAGTGTGGGTTCCAACGCAACGTAAACAGTCACTACTCGTGGGCACCGGAGCTGCGACAAGGCAAGTAGAAGCTGTGCCGCCTCATGGCTTGTCAACCTGCAAGCGGAGTCGCAAACAACAACGCGATCCGCAGTTTGTTCAAGACACGGCAGCAGAGCCGAAAGACGTGAGCTTTCCCATAAAGGTACAGAATTTGTCTTGCTTGAAGACCTCATTGCCGCCTCGCTGTATCGAGACAAGCCCTGCAGAAACGGGATAAGCTGTGCGGGTTGGGCTAACTCCATGTGAGTCAAGAAACAGTTGCAGAGGAGATTTATGAGATCCTCCGAAACATCAACATCAAGACGCGTGAAATTCGTCATGAGCACCGAGCACTCAATGTGTCGCAAAGTGCCTGGAAGTGTTTCATTCAGTAGAAAAAGCCTTGGCCGCGCCGCATCAACTATGCGCTGCAGCACCGGTGCATCGGCAACTTCCGGTGCACTATTTCGCAGACGCGCCAGCACCTGCAATGCAACGCAAATATCTTTTACAGTTGAAGATGCCAGTGCCGGGGGAAGCAGCGCAAGGGCGGTGCGGGATACTTGCGCCATGCTCTCTCGCTGCTGCAGTCGAGAGGCCACAGAGAGAAGGTGACAAACATCCGAAGGTCGCTTAGTAGTCCCTCCCGCCGATGGACCGAGCGCCGCATCGATCATCGGCAGCACCCGTGTCAGTGCCGCGTGCACCCTCTCAACATCTTCGTGGGTGCATGCTGCCTCGAGGCGCTGGCACGCCTGCAGAATGTGGAGGCAGTCAACAACCTCGAGTGGGGGCAGCGACCGCTCCTTCAACAGAAGCAGCGCGTCGACGCCATGCGTGAAGAGCAATGCAGCCTGCTTTGGCAGCAACGATTCCATCTCAGTTGAACCACCGAGTTGGTCACCGTCATGGTCACTCTCATCTTTCCTCATCTCATCAACATCAGTGCTGCTGCTGCTGCCGCCGCAATCCAGCATCTTCCCAACAAGATTAAAGACGGAGGTGATGGCGCTTCGGTGCTGTTTGAGCTCCAACTCTGTCAGCGCTTCAGCGCCAGTCATGGGCGCCTCCAGCGCTGTCAGTAGCGGTGTGCAGAGCTCGGTCACGACAAAATTCCGACCGGCGCTTCTGCCGTCCCTGAGGTTCAGCAGCGGCATGCAGATGGACATCACCTGCCGCGGTGACGTTAGGTGCGACTTGTTCACCCGAACCCACTGCAGCGTCTCGACAACGCGCGGGGTCGTCGTGGCGGCACCGAACGCNAGGTGCGACTTGTTCACCCGAACCCACTGCAGCGTCTCGACAACGCGCGGGGTCGTCGTGGCGGCACCGAACGCAGCCGCAACGCTCAGAAGCTTCCCCACCTCCACGCAGAACGTGGCAGAAGTAGCATCCACGTCCGAGAGCGCGTCCGCACCGCGCACCTCTTTGCGAAGGATTTTCATCGCCTCCCCCATCAGTCTCTGCCGCTCCTCTGCTACCGTGACGGTGTTGAAGTCGCGAGGTGACGTCGTGTCGCGGCGGTTGAGCGCGTGGGGTGGACGTTGGTACTGCTGGCGGATGCGCAGAAGTGCCGCGAGGACAGACTGCGACCGCGCCGCGGGTCCATGGCACAGCCGTCGACAGGGGCAGAGCATCGCTGCGTTGACAAATAAATCCCCTCACCCCCCCCCC